AACCAAGGAACAGAACAATAAATTGGGGAACTGGAACAAATTGATGGGCTGGATTTTAATGACATGTAATGAGATGTGTAACTTGTAAATTCATATAAATACCAACTGAAATGTGTAACCTGGGGAGCACATCTTCTGTATAAAGTGCATGTAATATGGCTGCACAGGACTGCTCTTTGGAGACTGGTATTGTATAGAACTTTTTTTTCCTGTACCATAATAATAAACCTGACTGACACTGGTAATTTGGTCTCTTGAGTATATTTCATAATGGACCAAAGTGTGGTGAAGCAGTTGGCTATACAATTTATCATCTGTGTTAGTAAGAGCCTGTGGGCTCAATCAGCCTCACCCTCAGTGTCAGACCTGGAGGGAAGAGTTAAAAGGGCTGGACAGTGGCTTAGTTAGGGCTGGTCAGGAAGGAGAGCAGCACTCTGCCTCAGGAAGTTGCATAGGACTCTGGCAGACAGAGCTTCCCAGAAGGCAGGTACATCTGCTACAGGGAGCCCAAGGCAGTTGGGAATGAAAGTATCAGGCAGTGAGTCAGCTCAGGATTCTGTGCCCTGGTATGTTTTTTAAGGTTTGTATAGCAGTGGTTCTTAACCAGGGGTATATGGATCCCAGGGGGTCTGTAAAGGTCTTCCGGGGGTTCATCAACTCATCTAGATATTTGCCTAGTTTTACAACAGGCTACATAAAAAGCACAAGCAAAGTCAGTAAAAAATAAAATTTCATACAGACAATGACTTGTTTATACTGCTCTGTATACTATACACTGAAATGATCAATTTATTTTGTAATATATGGTAAAAATGAGAGAGTACGCAATATTTCAGTAATAGTGTGCTGTGACACTTTTGTATTTCTAGGTCTGATTTTGTAAGCAAGTAGTTTTAAGAGAGGCAAAACTTAGGGATACGCAAGACAAATCAGACTCCTGAAAGAGGTACAGTAGTCTGGAAAGGTTAGAGTCACTGTTGTATATTACTAACCTTCCTTAGCCACTTACATGCTAATGGCAAAGTGCTGCTCTCTGATCTGCATATCCAATCTGCTGACTCCCATTTCACATTCATGCACAGAATGTGCATGAGCAAGAAGAGCTGAACTCTGCTGTGTGCATCTGAGAGTATAATTTGGCCCTAAGGATTTTTGTAAATACACTGAGGTTACTTTACTTCTCTCAGACCATCTGTCAACTCCAGCTGTTCAGAAAGTGCTGAGAATATATGGTAAAAACAAACGCGGGTGGGGAAAAGAGCACAGGGACTTGGTGCATTTGTATTTCACTGATGTACACCCATTTCTGGTCAGTCCCACATCTGCCAAGTGTCCTGAGATCTGTGTTGGAGGAAAATGTGCTATCTCTGAGTCTGTCCTTCTGAGGTGTCATTATTGTACCATTATGACAGGTTTCAGAGTGACAGCCGTGTTAGTCTGTATTCGCAAAAAGAAAAGGAGGACTTGTGGCACCTTAGAGACTAAATAAATAAATTGGTTAGTCTCTAAGGTGCCACAAGTACTCCTTTTCTTATTGTACCATTGCAGCTCCACCTTCAGCTGCTTTCTTCCCATTTCGCCAACACTTTCTTGCACTCAGCCAGCTCCATAGCTGTTTGAGCTCTTCCTTCCAAGTAGGTTTTTTTCCGTTTTCGGCTTTTAACCTACCATTTGTAGGTCTCAGATGCATCTAGAATTTTTTGTCAGTTTATGTGGTGGCTCCTATACAGCACCCCACCTGCTAGTGCAAATGAATAAGTGGGGTATTTGAGGCTTTGAAGGCACAGGCTTCAAACAGCTACACTATTTTGGAGAAAGAAAAGGAGTACTTGTGGCACCTTAGCGACTAAGGTGCCACAAGTACTCCTTTTCTTTTTGTGGATACAGACTTACACGGCTGCTACTCTGAAAACTATTTTGGAGGAAAATGCACACAAGTAGGCAGTAAAATGAAGGAAGAAAACCTAAGTGAAGAAGAGGTGTCTGAAGGGGACCTGGTTTTCCTTGAGTGCTCCTTTAGCACTTTGATTATCCAATGGACCCACTGACTGTTTGGCAGACTTCCTGCTTCTGATGTACTTAAAATTTTTTTGCTATTAGTTTTTGTGTCCTTGGCTAGTTGCTCTTCAAATTCCTTTTTGGCATACCTTATTGTATTTTTATACATGACTTGCCAGAGGTTATGCTCCTTCCCCCAACTCCCGCTAACTAGGATTTGACTTCCAATTTTTAAAGGATGCCTTTTTGCTTCTGTGACACATGGCTAGAAAGGGTTAAACATCCTGAAAAATAAATTACCCTCAAAAGACATGTGGGGAGATAATGTTTGTGTTTTTACATATGTATGAGTAGGGTCCACAATGTAATCAACAGTTCCTGTCTATACTGTATTCTGATCATTCAGAGGTCAAAAGAAGATCCTAACATTTAAATTAATTGTAAACATGGGATATCTTGGTATCCTTCTCTCTTTGAAATGTACTGTGAATGGTGGAGGAACAAGTGTGACATCCTATACCTTGGGGGAGCGTACTGAAATCCCCCATATTCCTCATTTTCATATAAGCGTGATCTTAAATATAAAGCGTGCCTTGTAAGATATATGGGGAAAGGTTATGATCTGCTGAAAGTCATTTCTCTAGCCATATATGTGTATCATTAATGCATATGAAGTTATAAGGATTGTGGTGTATGGTTGTCACTAAAACATGCTGTAAATTGGGAAATCGGCCAGATATCAGCTCTCCAGAGACAACAGCAAGGAAAGTAACCAACGCCCAGGCAGCGTGTCAAACAACCCATCAACAGCCATTGTCCAACAAGGGAGCTACAATGCAATGACTCACCTGCATGAGGCCATACCAGGGGAATTGCTCAACCTTTCTTGGAGAGACTCAGCAATGGGTTGAGAGTTTAGACTGCGTGCTTATATTTTATTTTATTTTGGTTACCACTCTGACGTTTTTCCTATCACTGAAAAAAACAACCTTTTATAGTCAGTAAATTTGTTTATCTTTACCAGTGAGTTTGTATGAAGTGTGGGGCAAATCTGCTCAGGTTGGCAAAGACTGGTGTATGTCCATTTTTCATTGTTGAAGTGGTGAACCTATTAATAAATTTTGCACTGCCCATCTTGAGCAGTGCAAGACCGAATATTCCTGGGGTACAGTGCTGGGAGCTGGGGGGGATTTGGCTGGTGCCTTTCTCTGCGCGATTGACGAGCGGCTCTGGGAGCATTCATGCAATATAGCTGGGTGTGGGGCTCCACATGCCGTTGTGCTGAGTGATCGCAGCCCCTGGAGGGGTTTGCTGCTGGTCACTAGCAAGGCATTATGAGAGACAGCCCAGGCTGGGGAGAGTTCAGGGGGCACAGTCTCAGGCTGCATCCCAGTCCCAGGCTGCACCCCAGGGAGATCCCGTCACAACAAGCAAATGGCCTTATATTAATTCAATAGCTAACTACAGGTGATGGACCGCCTTCAAAGTCATGCTAATTACCTTTTGAACTCCAACTTGTCAGAAGACATGAAATTGTATAAAAGATCCTTGGGTCCTAATTCTGTCATCTCAGATCTGCTTAGGCTTCATCAGGGGAAGTTTGAGTCCCAAGACTGAGGTCCCAGTTATGCTGATATGCCCTGAATATGAGATTTGGACATTGGACTATAACCTATGAACTATTTCTGAAAGAACTCTTTACAACTACAAAGCTCACCATTTCTGCTATAAGAAAAGGAGTACTTGTGGCACCTTAGAGACTAACCAATTTATTTGAGCATAAGCTCACGAAAGCTTATGCTCAAATAAATTGGTTAGTCTCCAAGGTGCCACAAGTACTCCTTTTCTTTTTGCGAATACAGACTAACACGGCTGTTACTCTGAAACCTGTCATTTCTGCTATGAATCTGAACCTCAATGAATCGAACTCATGTCTGCATGTATATTAATCTTTTAACCATATTCTCACTTTTTTGTTTTTTAATAAATTTTAGTTTAGTTAATGAGAATTGGCTGTGGTGTGTATTTGGGTAAGATCTGAACCATTCATTAATCTGGGAGGTAATGTGTCCGATCCTTTGGGATTGGTAGAACCTTTTATTTTATATGATGAAATAAGATTTACAGAAATTTTCATCATGTTTTATGTGGGTACCCGGATAGAGGCCTGAGGCTGGATCACTTTAAGGGAACTCTGTTGTTTGGACTCCTGAGTAACCCAGTAAGGTAATAAAGAAGCTGTTTTATGCTGGCTTGGTAAATCTAAGTATTGGAATATCCACCAGCTTTTTGGGGAATGTCTGCCCCATTCTTTGCAGTTCACCCTAATTGAGTGACCACAGCTGGCTCCCCACTGAGACTCCGGTCACAGCGTCTAACTTTTTTAAAAGTCTCTTTTTAGCCCAGGTGGCATTTTTGGTCCTCTTAATGTTTTTTTTGGTTTGATATACACATTTAGTTTGAGCCTCTATTATGGTGTTTTCAATACTCTCCATGCAGTTTGCAGATATTTCACCTTTGTGACTGTTCCTTTTCATTACCTTCCTCATTTTAGTGTAGTTCCCTTTTGAAGTTAAATGCTACTGTAGTGGATTTCTTTGGCATTTTTTCCTCATAAGAATGTTAAATCTAATTACAATATGGTCACTATTACTGTGCAGTTTAGCTATCTTCAGCTCTTGGTCCAGATCCTGTGTTCCACTTAGGACTAAATCAGGGGTTCTCAAACTGGGGGGTTGGGACCCCTCAGGGGGTCACGAGGTTATTACATGGGGGGGTTGCAAGCTGTCAGCCCCCACCCCAAACCCCGCTTTGCTTCCAGCATTTATAATGGTGTTAAATATATTAAAAAATGTTTTTAATTTATAAGGGGGGGCGCGCACTCAGAGGCTTGCTATGTGAAAGGGGTCACCAGTACAAAAGTTTGAGAACCACTGGACTAAATAAAGAATTGCCTCTCCGGATGGGTTTCACGACAAGATGCTCCAAGAAACAGTCATTAATGGTGTTTAGAAATTTTATTCCTGCATCCCATTCTGAGGTGACATGTATCGAGTCAATATGAGGAGAGTTGAAATCCTCCATTATTAAAGCATTTTCTGCCTTTGTAGCCTCTGTAATCTCCCTGAGCATTTCACAATAACTGCCTTCATCCTGGTGATGTGGTTGGTAGTATATTCCTTCTGCTATACTGTTTTTGTTCAAGCATGGAATTTCTATCCATAGAGATTCTGTGGTACAGTTTGTTTCATTTAAGGTTTTTACTTTATTTGACTCTATAGTTTCTTTCACATATAGTGCCACTCCGCCACCAGCACATCCTACTCTGTCATTCCTATATATTTTGTACACTGGTGTTACCACATCCCATTGATTATCCTCATTCCACAATATTTATCCTCATTTAATGCCAGGCACTCTAGTTTACCCATCTTAGTATTTAGACTTCTAGCATTTCTACATAAGCACTTGTATGTTTTGTCAATATTCAGTTGGTTGCCTATATGTGTTAGGTTTAAATGGGACTCTTTTACATTTGACTTCCTCACTAGCTCCTCCAGAACATTGCCCCATGCCTATGGTCTATCTGAGCACCCTGACAGAAACGCAGGCCACTAGGCCAGACTATAAACAATTACCTCAATACACTGTCTGGTGGTTAACCAAAGGACACTGAGCCCAACTGCAGCTTGCCCAAGGCCACTTGAAGGAAGAGAGGCCGGTGGCTCATTTGGAACTTGTTTGTTTCTTTTCTTCTCTGCCTTCACCTGTTTTTGTTTCCTCTGAACCCCAAGGAGTAAGCTGAAGGAACTCAGCCAGAGCTCAGAGTTCCCATTCTATGGACAGAGAGGTTAACCACCCCAATCTGGATGATGAGATTCTGCCCTTCGGAGAGTATATTACCCCATCTATCCCATGGAGGTGCTGCAGAGGGCCTAAGTCCTTGACAAGGGCAGAAAGGATAGCCTTCTGGTTAAGGCAAAGGAGCAGGAGATGGAAGTGGGCTGAGTTTGTGGCATTTGTAAAGCAGGGATGAGGATAAGAGGGGATGTGGAGGTGGTTGCAAAGCTAAATTAAAGGGATGTTTGCAGAGAGAGCTGAGATCAGAGGCTCAGGGCTATATAAGTGCAAAGCACTATGAATAAAAACAGCCACTGACCTTATACAAATTCAGCACAGATTTTTTTAATTTAAGGGGAAAGGAAATCTAAGCTTCCCCTCAAAGCTCTCACAGAACTCCAGTACTGTTTGCACAGCCTGTGGCTATTGTCTCTGCCTGCCAGACCAGCACTTCCAGCTTCACTTTCTCTTCCAGGCTTACCGGGGAGGCAGAGAAAGAGAGAGAGAGAGAGAGCGAGCCTCCTATATACCTTTGATATCTTGCTGTGACAGTCTGAATGATATGAGATTTCATAAACAATTCCGAGGGAGCTTTTAAAGACGTCACTGAACAGCACATAGCAAATCCCCCTACAATGGAGAGACTTTAGAAGCAGCCTTAAAGTGAATCCCAACAGATTCCCCTGCAGCGTTCTCCAGGAGGCAGCCTTGTGAAACCAGGACAATCTATGCGGGGGCATCAGCATCGTCAGCAGCTGTAGGAGGGGGTTCAGTCTACTTCTGGCCGAAGCTGTAAGGATGCTGCCACTAAGTCCAAAATACCTCAGAGGAGCAGTTTTGTTGCCTTTTGAGCAGCTGGAAGACCGCATCAACCCCATGTCCTGGGGAAAATGGAAGTACAGATACCATGGGATCCCCTTACAGAAGTTGTACACAGGGCCCACCCTTTCCCCTGTCCCAGTGGTGTCTCTGCTCTGCTCCAGCTCCCCCTCAGCCTGCCTTAGAGGGCTGCCCCCAACCCCCTGCACCTCCCACTCTGCCAGCCCTAGAGAGCTCCCTCACCCCCTGCAGCTCCCACTCTGCCAGCCCAGGGGGGGCTCCCTGACCCCCTGCAGCTCCCACTCTGCCAGCCCTAGAGAGCTCCTCCCAACCCTCCCTGCAGTTCCCCCATCAGCCTGCCCTAGAGAGCTCCCTCACCCCCTGCAGCTCCCACTCTGCTAGCCCAGGGGGGGCTCCCTGACCCCCTGCAGCTCCCACTCTGCCAGCCCTAGAGAGCTCCTCCCAACCCTCCCTGCAGTTCCCCCATCAGCCTGCCCTAGAGAGCTCCCTCACCCCCTGCAGCTCCCACTCTGCCAGCCCAGGGGGGCTCCCTGACCCCCTGCAGCTCCCACTCTGCCAGCCCTAGAGAGCTCCTCCCAACCCTCCCTGCAGTTCCCCCATCAGCCTGCCCTAGAGAGCTCCCTCACCCCCCTGCAGCTCCCACTTTGCCTGCCTTAGATAGCTCCTCCCAACCCTCCCTGCAGCTCCCACTTTGCCTGCCCTAGAGAGCTCCTCCCAACCCCCCCTGCAGCTCCCACTCTGCCAGCCCTAGAGAGCTCCTCCCAACCCCCCCTGCAGCTCCCACTCTGCCTGCCCTAGAGAGCTCCCTCACCCCCCTGCAGCTCCCTCTCTGCCAGGCCTAGAGAGCTCCCTCACCCCCCTGCAGCTCCCTCTCTGCCAGCCCTAGAGAGCTCCCTCACCCCCCTGCAGCTCCCACTCTGCCAGCCCTAGAGAGCTCCTCCCAACCCTCCCTGCAGTTCCTCCATCTCTGATGCAGCACGCCCAGAGGTGCTGGGGCTAGGAACTTCCAAGCCTAGAGGTGCTGGGGGGCTCAGCCCTGGCACAAATTAAGCACTGCCTCCAGGGCTGCCCTGCCCCACACCCCTGCAGCTCCCCCGCTGCCTGCCTTAGAGGGGTCCCCCCAGCCCGGCATCTCCAGGTCCCCTTGCTTGGCTCCCCCCCCGGGCAGACTCCCCGGCGGCAGAGCCCGGTGTCCCGGCCGGGAGGGGAAGACACAGGAGGAGGAGGAGAAGAAGAAAGCGCGCCCGTGCGAGCGGCCCAGCCGCGCTGCGCCGGAGAGGCAGCGGGAGGGCACGGCTCCGGGCAGAGGGTTATCCAAGGCGAGGCGGTCCCCAAGCCGCGGCCGCACGGGAGGAGGAGGAGCCAGCCGGGGAGACCCCACCTCCGCGGAGGTGACAGGCGAGGCCGGGTGCGGAGGGCGCCGCGCCTCATGTCCAGACGGTGCCGTGCGCGCAGCTGCTGGGGACTACGGGGCATGCGGGACTACGACGAGCTGATCTCCTTCCTGGGCGAGTGGGGCCCCTTCCAGCGCCTCATCTTCTTCCTGCTCAGCGCCAGCATCATCCCCAATGGCTTCAACGGCATGTCCGCCGTCTTCCTGGCCGGCATCCCCGAGCACCGCTGCCGGGTGCCCCCCAGCGCCAACCTGAGCCGCGAGTGGCTCAACGCCAGCATCCCCCGCGAGCTGCAGGGCGGCCGGGAGGGGCCCAGCAGGTGCCGCCGCTACCGCCTGGAGTCGCTGGCCAATTTCTCCGCGCTGGGGCTGCAGCCCGGCCGGGACGTGGACCTGAGTCAGCTGGAGCAGGAGAAGTGCCTGGACGGCTGGGAGTACAGCCGGGAGATCTACCGCTCCACCATCGTCACCGAGGTGCGCCCGGGCGCGGGGCCGAGGGAGGCTGGCCCGGCGGGGATGTGGGTGCCGGAGCAGGGGACGTGGTGTGGGCGGCGCGGTGCCCGTGTTGTGTAATGCGCTTGCCTAAGCCCGCGGATGCGCCTCTGTGTCCGCATCTCCTGCCCCGCCGCCCTGCCGGCCCTTCCGGCCGGGGCCCTCCCGGGCAGGCGTGGCCGCTGTGCGAGTTCGTCCCTGCGGTTTAGCTCAGCCGCCGGCAGCTACATGGCGTTCCGCGCCCACGGGGTTGCGCCTCCGCCTCGCAGCGCCCTTGTCTTCAGCGGTGAATTTAAAAGCTGGTGCAGGCGATCTCCTGCCCTTCCACGCGGCCTCGGACACGTGCAGACATTGGGTGCGTTTGTAGCAACGCATGCGTTCTCTCTCTCTCTCTCTCTCACACACACACACACACACACGACAACACTATAAAGCAACAGCAGTCACGCCAGGGGAGTTGCAAGGGGGCGGCACGGAGATCCGCAGCGTGCAAACTGTCGCTAACTTCCTTCCTTTCCTATCCCCAGGCCGGCACTATGCTGATTTGTGGTCTGTAGTCCGTGATCATTGTTGATTGACATTTTCATGCCTTTTATTTCAATTAAAATGCACGCCCTAGAGTTTAGTTCTACAACAGAAGGAGCGTAAGCAGTGTGGTGTAGAATCGGAGCGTTGCAATAGTTAAAGGTGTCATTCAAGGGGCATTTTCATTTTTAAAATAATGTTTTCTTCATCCTCACAAGGATTTTATAACTTGGTCCCAAGATATTAGTTTGGAGCTAAGATTTGGCCGTATGGAATTACAGACTATAGTCAAGCCAAACATAATGGTCTTCAGTTACCCAAACACAAACTGTTTTGAAGATCCCATCAGGACTTGGTTTGGAATAAAACATAATAATAATCTTGACGCCACAAGCAATTGGTTCTTGGAACAGGCGATTCTGGAGGCTTGTTTTGATTATTCAGTCCTATTATTAGTCCAGAGTAAAATGCTGTGAAAACATTTTAATTGTCCTCTTTCCCTTCTTCCACCCTCTTTATTCTGGTAGCCTAGCAAGTGTTTCAATTTCTTGATATTATTGGTTGTTATTCAGATCACTCCTTTTGCTACCTTAAACTTCAGCTGATAAAACTGAAATCTAGGGTGAAATCCTGTTCCTGTTGAAGTCAATGATTCTTTTGCTAATGGCATCAATGGTGCCAGGATTTCATTTAATTGTTCACTGAACACTATGACTCATAAACAAGTCTTATGACATTGGTTCTTGAGAAACCTTATGAAACCAACAGACTAATCGGATATTTTTCCTGTAGATTGTCATAAATTGTTTTTCATGGAAAACAAAAAGCAGTTAGCAACAGAATAGTCAGAGCTTCTAGTGTAGATGAAAGAAGTTTATGCTGGCTCTCATGTTTTAACCCATTTTAGCAGACTATACTTTGGAGCTACCATACTATGAGGACGACACAGTGAGCTATGAAGAGTCATGCTAGTAGGTGTTGTAGGTGCTTAAAGAAACCCAGTCAACTTGAAAATCACACTTGCCTCAAAAATTTGTACCCATTGTGGTTACAAATAAGACCCACTTCTGAATCCGACTCCATGGAGGCAGACCACTGTGGCCACATAGTGCCCCTTTGATTTCTGTATAGCTTTACATGGACACAGCATTGCCCATGCGCAATTAGTTGCAGGGTAGAAAAATATTTATTTTTCCCCAGTCTGATTACTTGCGCATCTGATAGCACTTTAGCTGGTGTAAATCTGGCTGTGTATAGTCAATATGATGTCCCTTTAAAGTTGTGGTGTCTGGTGTTGCCAGTGATGAGCTGCCAAAATCTTAACAACTGGTTCTAAAAGGGCTTCTAAATTTAACAACTGGTTCTAGCGAACTGGTACAAACTGGCTCCAGCTCACCACTGGGTGTTGCTAAGTTGCTCTGTGTTGCTAGTCTCTGTGTTGTCTTAGTTTACTTGTTATCTGTCCCTGGCTTCATCCCCATATCCATGTTGACATGCTCTCGGGGTTCAAAAGGTTTGGCACTGACATAGGAAGGCTTTAAAGAAAATTCTTTATTTGGCATTGGCTTACAGCAATTGCCCGGAAGCCTTTGGCTTTCCTGACCTGACTTGGTGGCCAGTTCTGAGTCTAGCTGACTCGAAGTCAAAATCTTTATTCGGGCACTATATAATGTTACAGTTCACTTCAAAATATTTCAGTTATAGTAAATTGACAGCAGAATATTTTTAAATTGGATTTAAACATTGTTTTTTAAATTGGATTTTAAATCCCTTCCCTTTTGTCTCTTTAAAATGTAAAAAGAGGAACTGAAAGAATTTTTTGCAGACTTTTTCTGATTATCTTCTGTGTTTAGAAATTACAAGAATTTGAAGTTTGGTCTTCATTGGCCTTGTTGGAGGAGGTTTTGAGAGTCTCTGCTGTGATTGTGAGCTCACATGGCTTAACTGAGACGGCTCTGTGCCAAATATGTGGCAAAAACTCTTTCTCCATAATGTCTATTATACTAAATAAGTATTAACAGACAGACCAGTAAGCCATTAGCTGTAGTGTTACAATAGCACCCAGAAGACCAAAACAGATTGGGCTCCTACTTGGATTGGCGCTGTACCGATGCATAAGTGAACAGGCTGACTAAAATTCCTTCCTCTGTTAAATGCTCAGCTTTCATTCTCTTGGTTGTGTGTTGTAATTTCACTAGTCATCTGGGCCGAGATCCTCAGGTATTTAAGCACCTAGCTCCTATTAAAATCAGTGGGAGTTACACACTTAAATACTTTTTGAGGAGCTGGGCCCTAATTGCAATAATCCTTCAGGCTAGATGAGACCTGCATTTCCAGTGTGTGGGTTGTTTTTTAAAGCAAAAATTTTTTATTTAGGGAAGAAGGGGAAAAAAAGGACACAAGTCTAATTCTTTTCCTTTGCAGGTCAGCTATGAAAGGGCACTTTCCATCTTGGTAGACCTTCAGACTGACTTAAGTCAATCATTAATTCCCATTCTCAAGTATACTGTATGTGTAGTTATCTTTAAACGTTGTTTGTTTATGTAAAAGCTTAGTACCTGAATGAGCCAAACAGACTTTGTCTACACTACGGAATAAGGTCGAATTTATAGAAGTCGGTTTTTTAGAAATCGGTTTTATATATTCGAGTGTGTGTGTCCCCACAGAAAATGCTCTAAGTGCATTAAGTGCATTAACTCGGCGGAGCGCTTCCACAGTACCGAGGCTAGAGTCGACTTCCGGAGCGTTGCACTGTGGGTAGCTATCCCACAGTTCCCGCAGTCTCCGCTGCCCATTGGAATTCTGGGTTGAGATCCCAATGCCTGATGGGGCTAAAACATTGTCACGGGTGGTTCTGGGTACATATCGTCAGGCCCCCGTTCCCTCCCTCCCTCCCTCCGTGAAAGCAAGGGCAGACAATCGTTTCGCGCCTTTTTCCTGAGTTACCTGTGCAGACGCCATACCACGGCAAGCATGGAGCCCGCTCAGGTAACCGTCACCCTATGTCTCCTGGGTGCTGGCAGACGCGATACGGCATTGCTACACAGTAGCAGCAACCCCTTGCCTTGTGGCAGCAGACGGTACAGTACGACTGGTAGCCGTCATCGTCATGTCCGAGGTGCTCCTGGCCACGTCGGCTGGGAGCGCCTGGGCAGACATGGGCGCAGGGACTAAATTTGGAGTGACTTGACCAGGTCATTCTCTTTAGTCCTGCAGTCAGTCCTATTGAACCGTCTTATGGTGAGCGGGCAGGCGATACGGACTGCTAGCAGTCGTACTGTACCATCTTCTGCCAGGCAGGCAAGAGATGAGGATTGCTAGTAGTCGTATTGTACCATCTTCTGCCAGGCAGGCAAGAGATGAGGATGGCTAGCAGTCGTACTGTACCATCTTCTGCCGAGCAGCCATGAGATGTGGATGGCATGCAGTCCTTCTGCACCGTCTGCTGCCAGCCAAAGATGTAAAAGATAGATGGAGTGGGTCAAAACAAGAAATAGACCAGATTTGTTTTGTACTCATTTGCCTCCTCCCCTGTCTAGGGGACTCATTCCTCTAGGTCACACTGCAGTCACTCACAGAGAAGGTGCAGCGAGGTAAATCTAGGCATGTATCAGTCAGAGGCCAGGCTAACCTCCTTGTTCCAATAAGAACGATAACTTAGGTGCACCATTTCTTATTGGAACCCTCCGTGCAGTCCTGCCTGAAATACTCCTTGATGTAAAGATACCCCCTTTGTTGATTTTAGCTCCCTGAAGCCAACCCTGTAAGCCGTGTCGTCAGTCACCCCTCCCTCCGTCAGAGCAACGGCAGACAATCGTTCCGCGCCTTTTTTCTGTGCGGACTCCATACCAAGGCAAGCATGGAGGCCGCTCAGCTCACTTTGGCAATTAGGAGCACATTAAACACCACACGCATTATCCAGCAGTATATGCAGCACCAGAACCTGGCAAAGCGATACCAGGCGAGGAGGCGACGTCAGCGCGGTCACGTGAGTGATCAGGACATGGACACAGATTTCTCTGAAAGCACGGGCCCTGCCAATGCATGCATCATGGTGCTAATGGGGCAGATTCATGCTGTGGAACGCCGATTCTGGGCTCGGGAAACAAGCACAGACTGGTGGGACCGCATAGTGTTGCAGGTCTGGGACGATTCCCAGTGGCTGCGAAACTTTCGCATGCGTAAGGGCACTTTCATGGAACTTTGTGACTTGCTTTCCCCTGCCCTGAGGCGCATGAATACCAAGATGAGAGCAGCCCTCACAGTTGAGAAGCGAGTGGCAATAGCCCTGTGGAAGCTTGCAACGCCAGACAGCTACCGGTCAGTTGGGAATCAATTTGGAGTGGGCAAATCTACTGTGGGGGCTGCTGTGATGCAAGTAGCCCACGCAATCAAAGATCTGCTGATATCAAGGGTAGTGACCCTGGGAAATGTGCAGGTCATAGTGGATGGCTTTG